GCAGCCACTGCTGTGCGCGAATATACAGGTCTTTTCCCCAACCATCGGCTCCTTGACCAGCATGTGTTTCGTCGTTTGTTGCATCCAGCAAAAGAAGATGGATCTTTTTAGCCTATTCGGAAAGGCCTTCCTGGGGCTACACGGATTATACGCGTAGACGGTGAAGAACAAGTGGCACAAATGAATGGATGCTCAAGATCGATCATGCATCGTATCCTTACAGACAAAAATCTGCATCCTTACTATTGACGAAAGTGCAGCATCTGCGACGAGCCGACTGCGCGACGAGGGCATGTTGCTAAATGGTTACTGCGACAAAATGAACTAAATCCTGATTTTTCACGGCACATTCTTTTCGCCGACGAATGTTCATTTTCCCGAAAAGGAATATTTAATGCGCACCATTGGCACTTCTGGGCAAACGAAAATCCACATTTTGCTAACGTGAGAGCATATCCAGAGCAATACTATTAATCTATGGGCTGGAATCGGGTAGTCGGTTGGTCCCAGATGCTGCACTCTCGTGTAATGGTAAGGATGCAGTCTTCTCTCTTGAAGGATACGATGAGTGGTCGATCTTGAGCATCCACTCATTTGCGCTACGCAGCGGACACTTCTCCTAGGATCCGCTTCCATCAATATTATTCTTGAATAAGTCTCCGTTTTCAGTATCTCCCCCACATGATTGACACCACAGCAGATACCTATGATTTCAATACACCAGAGAAGTGGAGTCTCGTCTCTTTTTTCGTTGCTTAGATTAGGTATCAGCAACAAAGCTGTTCGGTAAAAATTGATACTGTTTATTGAAAATCATAAGCACCGATTAATCAAAAGCGATATTTATGTTTTAGTACACTTAATAACGTTCTTTGAATGAACATGTGGTACTCTTTTTTAGAAATAACAATAAACTTAATATCAGGGATATGATGCATAGTGAATTCTAAAAATGCACTACTTTTCGTTAAAAAGAACAACACATTATTCACGGGGCTCTAAGAAAATGACTTCTAATACCTGCTCTTCGGTATCTACACTATGTAGAATCGTAATAAATGTATTATTTGCCTACGATGAAATGAAACAGCTTCTTTTATGACATGTACAGCCCAGTTAAACACAATTTAACTAGAATGGCAGCAGAAATAACTTCTGTCCCATGCTACTTGGCTTAAAGTAAACCTTGACGTCTCTGTGTACATTAATCAGTCATCTTTGGGGGCAGAAGCGTCTGTTCAGGTCAGTGATGAACTTCGTGACAGTTTATGACAAACAATTGTCAAAATGATTGAATTTATAACCACACTTCTGTTTCCTTCTGTTGACGGAGGGGGATTCGGAAAAAATTCATTCAACTTTAGTATTACCCGATTTTTTGTTCTTGGCATAGGTAACTTTGAACATAGAAACGTTCAGATATAAAAGCAGCCTCTCTATTGGTCAACTTAGTCGCCTTCCAGTTCTCACACGGTTAAAGCCTGGACAATTCTTTTTGCGAATTACGGCACAGTTCGGGACAGGGAACATGTCATTCACGGGAGTGGCGCGAATTCTGGGACACCCTGTATAAAATTTATTAAACACAAAAATACATTGTCACTGGAAATAACAGTGTATTTGAAATGTTGCGGCAATATTTATACATTTAAAAATTATTTGTCCTAGAACCAATTCGTTGAAAATTTGTACCAGGTGATTTTTTTTTAATTTTTGCTGTAGTTATTCATGACACTTATGTCAGCAGTGAAACTGAAACTGCTGACATAAGCTTCATGGGCAACCACAGCATAAATTTAAAACACAATATAAATTTTTTAAACATAAAAATACACTGCCAACTTACAATGAAATAAAAATACATTGTCAATGGAATTAACAATGTTCTGCTACATTTCAATCGTTATACAGAAATATTTATTTAATAATTATTTGCTCTATAACCAATTCATTGAAAAGCGATATAATTAATTAAAATAAAAAAAAATCATACCTCATGTTTTTTTCGATGAGAATTCATTCTTGCTTTTGTCTGCGCTTAATGAGGTCCTAACATTTTTTAAATTTCAGTAGTTGTAGGTTGTGGCGTTTTTGTGACGTTTCCGTGTGGTACCTACAATTAAATTAATTTACAAAATTTGTAATTTTTAAGAAATCACATAACTTTACATATTGTAGCCTTGTTAATTGTGAGTTCACTAAAAGAGAGATTATTTTTTTCCTTGCCCTGAAAACTTGAAAGCAATTTGGTTCATTATTAATAATTTCTTCAAAATTGCATACATGTTTTTTTACGTCTTCTCTTCCTGACAAATAAACATTATTATCAGTCTGAAACTAGTTTATAAATACTAGGAGTTAATAATAATAATAATAAATGCTTACCAATTCATCCAATTTCTACGTATCTCCCGCAATTTCTAACTCGATTTCTTCTTTTTTTTTGGTTGCGGCCAGACATTCATCATTTTGTCTCTACATTCATAATATGTTTATATTCAGAAATATTAAACCTCTTAAATATACTTACGTGTTCAGAAATTGCATTTTCTGCATTGCACGTAGAAGTGAGATTATGTAGGTTTAGTACTGTTTTCTTGACAAAACGGTATTTACTACACTATTCTGAATTTATCGCAGTACCGATAATCACAATTCACAATAGGACAAATACCATGAACTTACACAAAATACTTTTTGAACCCCCAATAATAACAGAAAATATGTTTATGTATATGTTGCACATTGCGCAAACGCGTTCCAGCAGAGCAAGCGCATCTGTAGGTGAAACGCAAATTTAAGTAAGTTTTATAAAAATGATGAATAAAATTGTTATTTTTTGTTCGCAAAAATAAAAAAAATATTACTTTTTAATGAGCAATTAATAGTGTGCAAAGCGAGATTTCGAATAGTGTCAATTTCACAATAGCTGGTATTTTTTCAAATCAATTTTTAATATTACTCCAATAAAAACCCTATGAAATAAATTACCTACAAGTTGTCCCAACATGGTACTTTTTCTTTCATTTTTATTGTTCGGTATCTTGATAAAAAGACATTTCATAAATATGTAACATATGTTGAAATTCATATATAAATTTATAAATATAAAATGAATATTATATAAATATTTGTAATATCTAGTCAACATTTAATATTATATCAATGTTGTATAAATGTTAGAAAAATATTGCTTGCTACTGGGGTAGGAATCTCAAAAATGATAAATGTGTGTAAATATAAAAAAAAGTCTGATACAAATACTTCAGAAATGTAAAAAATGCAGTTTTAAGTGTGCAAGTAAAATGTCAGCGTCTCGAAAATGTCAAAATTTGGCAAATATAAAATTTGTCAAAACCATTAATCGTTAGCAATTTCAAATTTCTCAAAACCATATAGAATGTCAAAAAGGTTTCATTCGCATAGAAAAACTAATAATTGGAGTTTACAAACAACAAGCAAACTCGAACACCACCATTTTGAAAATTAATCCCGCCAACTAGATTTTAAAGTTGATCCAAATTGTGCGACTACAGCGACAAACCTTGCCACATTTCCTTTCTTTAGACTTCAGAACTTTGGAAAAAACAACTCAAAATAGGCATTTGTCGCCACCAACTAGAGAAAAAATAAAGAAAACTGGTTTTTCCGTAATAGTAAACACAAAATTTCATGGTCGAAACGCTTAATTATTGTGTTTTTTTGTTAACTGTAGATAGATAGATAGTGTAGTTGTGTTTGATGTCTTGACGCAAGTATACAGTTTCAAACACAAAAGAAAAGAAAATCAAGTTTATTACCTTGCAGTAGAAGCACACAAATCCATATTTTGACTTGCAGCACTTAAATTGTTCACAAAATAATCAAAAACAGTGTGTAGCACCACCATTTTATAAAATATAACGATGGTAACTAGATTCTACTAATTTGACGTAAGTGGTGCAGGGCCCGCTACGTTTTTGTTAATAATTTGAAGAAATATCAACATTATCGACATAGACACGGATGCAAAATCTACTAATATCTACCAATCAATCCTTTGGAAATGTACTCTGGGTTGCATTCTCAATTCTGTCGGGCTCATTACTGTTCGTGAATCACCCAGTATGTGACTGAAGTTGGGTTTAGTTTTAAATTTGAATTTACCGCTTGTTGCGTTAAACTATAGCCAGTTTTTAGTGTCACATTTGAAATAAATTTATCCAAATGTGAAGCAAACTTCAACGTAGTTTTCTAGCTCAAACGTGTCCTATTAATAAAAATCTCGACCCAGTTATTGCTTTGGTTTTGTAAAATTGACCACAACATTGCAATTATTTTACTACTTACCTTCTAAAACAAGAAAACATGTCCTTCTTCTGCTTCATAGTTGTTAATTCGCACAGAAAAACTAATAATTGGAGTTTATAAACAACAAGCAAACACTAACACCACCATTTTGAAAATTAATCACGGCAACTAGATTTTAAAGTTGATCGAAATTGTGCAATGAGAGCGACAAACGTTGACACATTTCCTTTCTTTACATTTTAGAACTTTGGAAAAAACAACTTAAAATGGGGATTTGTCGCCACCAATTGGCGAAAAAATGAAGAGAACTGGTTTTCTTTAAGTAGTTACAATACAAAATTTCATGGTATTAGAACGCTTAATTGTGGTTTTTGTTTACACAGTTTCAGACACATTAAAAGAAAAGAAAATCAAGTTTATTACCTTGCAGAAGCACACAAATCCATAGTTTGACTTGTAACACTTAAATTACTCACAAAATAATCAAACACCACCATTTATAAAACAGAGCAACGGTAACTAGGTTCTATTTATTTGACGTAATTGATGCAGCGCCTGCTACGTTTTTATTTTGTTAGTGAATTGAAATGTAACACTGTGATGTAAAAGAATGGAATTACATATTATTCTTTTAACTAAATAAAGAATCTTGTTTTTTTAATTAAAACGGATAAAAGGGTGTGTGTGGGAGAGGTGTCGAGATAAGCATATTGTGCCTGGACAAATACAATTTATTACCAACACAAAGGAAATAGACTTACAATACAAAAGAATTCAAAACAAACATACAGATTTAACTTAATCAACAATAAAAAACACTTACTTATGCTAACGTATTCAACGACGAGACATTCAATTAGTCTCCGCATCGGCTGAGGCTCGCAGCGATGCACCTTTATGACTAAACACCACCTGGAGTCCAGCCACTCCTCACCAACAAGTCAATAGGACATTGCTGCTAGACGTGGCCACTAATCCAGCATGAATTATATATACTATATTTATATAAACACTAACTAAAAACCGCTCTCGCGCCTCAGCCCAGGCCAACGTCGTAACTCATCTGTTGATTCACTTTCATCTTACGCCTAGAACCTACTATCTAACTAGTTTTATTTCTTTATCTTAACACTATCTAAGCTAAAGCCTAAAACTAAACACTCTAAGCTACTCTACAAGCTATCCTTAACTTAAGTGCGGTCATCCGCGTACTTTATACAGTGGCTGGAGCTTAGTCCAGCCGAGACTTATAATAGGTAGTCGCTGACTTCATCGTTAATACGGTCTAAAAATAGTTAATATACCACCCGCGAGTGGTACCGGTATACCAAAAATAAACTGAGCCTATCAGTTAACAATGTAAAAATTTCTCGTATTAGTGTAAGTGTTGTCAATACAATATTTGGTTTCAGCTATTCCTCAAATATACTTTACATAGGCATTCAGTACGAGATTTGGGAGGGAAGGGCGTGTGGCGACCCACGCGACCTCCAATCAAAACAACGATGGCGGAAAACATACGAAAAATAAAAAGGAGCACCGAGAGTCACGTGGGTCGACCAGTGTACAAATGTCGATGGTGTGTCTACCTAGTCCAAATCAAATATTGTATGGTCATCAAGTCGCCGTGTTGTCATAAGCATTTTCTTTTTAATTTTTTACTCTGAACTTCTATATAAGGCATATTTAAGCATTACGGTATGGATTTTTCTTTAACCCCGAAGGCCGAGCAGATAATCGAAAAATCCCCTATAAATTTGTTAGCTTAGCTATTACACACAAACGAATTTTGGATGGAGGGCCGTAAAAGACACTACTCTGCAATAGCAGTGGTTATAATGTGTCTTCGCACTATACCCTGACCTCCAATGAAATCTAAATGAACAACGGAAACGAACGTTACAACTGTCTACAACATAGAAACAACTAGAAGTTAAAAATTTGGTTGTCGGTTTTCATGAAAACACCGAGTTAAAAAAATATATTAAAATATTTCAGTATATCCCTGTCAATGGACAATCTGAAAAGGCACGATTTCAATATAACGTGTAGTAAAATCCATTCTAAAACCTGGCCTTTTACACTTAAATAAAAAGCGATAACGGAATCGTCTCTGGTGATAATAAGACAACACTAAACGAAAACATCGGGGAGGAGAAGGAGCTTGAAGACCAGGTAGCCTCGTCTCGATTTTCAAAAAGGCTTGTGTCACAATTGTAAAAAACCGAAAATGTCGACTTCATGACAAATACACTACGACCCAACCAATCCAATACACGTCCAAACGATTAAAAAAAAAAAAAAGAAAAAAAGAAAATAAAAACACGTAATCGACACAAAAATAAAGAAATCACAGCTGTCTCAGTCGTAGCATACCTATCATCAAAATAAATAGAGAAAGTCAGTCCATTTAGAAAAGAATCCCGATCATATATTATACTTTCCATTTTAAATATATTATAAATATAAATAAATCTAAAAATAAAACAAAATTGCACTATATAAAAACTGTACAAAGGGGAAACTTTTGTAAATGAAGTTGGTAATAAATAATTTCTGTTACGTTCAGACACTGGAATGTCAAACTGATGGTTATCCAAGTCGAAAATCATATATTACAAGGCGCCTTCCACTCAACAAAACTACCCCAAACTGTAGAACCCTATTGACTGGTGTCGGTCGGTCGGTGAAACGAACGGTGGTTTTGACAAGTGAAAAGCTTCAAATAAATTAAACTCTACATAAACTGTATAATAATAAACAAAAAATAAATTAAGACATTATTGGAAGTTCAGTTCATATTGTATAGATGGTAATTAGGAAGAATTATTTGATTTCAATGAGCAGTTTATCGCATCTGCGTTGCGCACACAACTACCTATGTAGATCTTCATCAAAAAATAAAATTGCTAATTTACCTAACCTATGCCGTTTTGGCTTGGGAAGATCAAATACGGTTTCATCATTTCACTGCTGTATTTTAAGCTATCTACCGTCAGACCTTTGTTTTTAAAAACGATGTTTCGTGCTCTTCGCCTTTCATTATCTACTTATCTAAAAATTCTACATTTTTTTTAATGTGTTGGTATGCTCTATCCATGTAAGAAAAAAAATCCGCTCCTCTCAACATATGTACACACATTTTATACTAAGCGAAAACTTAACAGAAAATAATCCGTTTTCTTACACAGATAACCAGTTACTTTCATATTTTCAATACAATGTTGAAACTAGGAACATACTGTATCAAAAATACCTACTTTACACATATTTTCAGTCATTTTTTAAAAACTCTTGTAACAATGGATCAAGAAAAGAACCAATTTCTCAAATGAACCGAAAACAGCAGCAAAACAATAATCAAACGACGTAACTATAATAAACAGAGTCCACACAGTCAAATCTGCAGATCGTGCCCTCACTTAACTTTATAAATATCTATATCCTAGAAAGAAAAGAACGAAAACCTACGAAAACCACTTTCAGTGCCTCGACTACTCGGAAGAGTCCAAATTAAAAGCTAATTCCGCCGGTACAATCCGCACAGTCGACTTTGCGACCACATATATGTAACCTTAATTTTTCTTTTTTAGCAAAAATTCTGTCTAAATCTGAAACTTATTTAGGAGGTGCAGGCGGGTACGCCTGATATGGATCCTCTGGACTGGCCGCGTTGGATGTGTGCTCCGAGTCACCCATGGCGACGGTGTGGATGACGTGCGACGGATAGTACGAGTACGGCTGCGAGATGTACGAGCCGGTGCCTAACTGCATGGCCTGCATCTGAGCGGTCAGCTGCAAATAAACCATGTCCTTAAATTCACTCAACTGTAGGATCCAGAGTTGAGCCTGACCCAACAACGGCTTACCTGAGGTATCATATTAGTGTACTGGACGGCCGCCTCGGGCGAGGGCAGCATCATGGGAATGCCTCGGGGGCCTTGGCCGTCGCTCTTGTAGGGGGCCATGTGGCCGGTGAGGTTGTAGCTGTCGTCGACGGGCGGCATCGGCGCCGGCATTACGTATTGGGGGACCCACTGCGCGCTGGGGGCGTAGCTGGCGTACTGTGCACACGAAACGTTAGAAACAATGAAATTTCAAACATATAAGTAGTTTATTGTTACTCGTGAAACACCCTCTATAAATTAGTTTCATTCGAAAGAACAAAAGGGCGTACGATGAGTTGTTTAAAAAACCGATGTTTGTTTTCAAACCGTAGTTCCACAATAGCACATCGAAAGAGAATGTGGAAGTAGGAAGGAGAAATAAGCCATTATCGAGGCTGCGAATGTTTCTATTTAACACTCCCACAAGACTCTTATTATTATCTACAATCTGATGATGGGTATTGAATTGTGAACAGCTGTTAGTCGCAAAACACCCACGGCTTCGATTAAAGCTGTATTAAGTCACTTGTTGTTCCGATCGTATTGATCGCTTTGAAATCTGTGGTATAATAATTGGTCTAGCGATAGAAAATTTTATCTATTTTCTGACAAGATTGTTGAAGTTTACAACGCATTCTACAACTCAAATTTACTAAGGTGTTGCAGATGTATGTATCTCTAGTAAATTATCAAACAATTCACGCCTTTTTTCTGGTGTCACCCAAAGTTCGGTTTTGGGGCCTGTTTTATTCTCAGAATAAATTGTTGATTTGACTAATATTGTCATATCTAATGCATTGTAGTTTCTACCCGTCTGAAAAATTACTGTCTTTAATGTTTCTGATAAATTATGAGTACTGTTAGTAGTAGTGGTTTTTATATTCGTCGCTGAAATATATTAATTCAGAAAAATAAAAGAGAACTCTTACTCCCATTATTACCAAATTTGGGGTTCTTTGAAACTTACAAGCTCTTAATTTAAGATCAAATTCAAAAATGATGATAAAAAAAATTGATTGAAGGTTATTTCGACATAACTTCCCTCGCCCCCGAAGTACCGGGTGACTATTAATTACTAAAAAAGATTTGTGTTGGTAATTTTGAATTATTGGCAGCAATGTTAACATGTCAGTTCAGAATTGTCAACTTTGACAATCAGGTATACCATGGTAAAATTTTAAATGTTGCCAACCTGACAAAAAAATCACAATCATTAAAAGTCACCCAGTGCAACCAAACATTTGATATTGTGAATGTTATTTATTTTTTATCAGCATATTTCCATAAGATTTATTCGGCAAAATTTTTGGATCAATTTTTTAGTGGTGATAATATTTTAGTTACCAAATTAAAACATTTGCAAGACTTCAAAGTATTCCGCTTCTGCAGTTTCTGATTTAATCAATAAAATGACTCACTCATACATTTTTTGAGTCACCCTGTGTAAGCAATAATTTCAAAAAATATGAACACAATGAGAAATCGCAAGTATAAACTCATCATAGTTTGCACGCTTTATAAAATTCTGAGATGTCCTTATTAAATTAATTACTGACTTTTTTCCAAAAATCTGGATGTCTCGCGTAAAAACTCAACACGGTTTCATAAACTACCCATGTAGGAGTATGTTATTTTTAAATAATTTAAAACCCATTTACACAATGTACATTAAATTGGCTAAATTTTGATTAGGTTTTACCATCTACATCATCTTCCTAATACATATACCGTGTGTCCGGAAAATGGTGGATTAACTCTCCTCTGCACTCTTAACAAGTAACTGGTGGGACTGGGAAAAATGGTAAAAAAATTCCTTCTCACATTTTGGTGGAGTGAGAGATTTTAAAATTGGTTCTTTTGCTACGTTTAACAACTAAAGAACGCATTCACTATCACAATAACTAGTAATAAAACTGTTAGTTATGTGCGTATGTCATTTGCCAAAATCGGTCTTATTTTAGCAGGTACTAGCCCCGCCCACCCGCCCTCTCTTTTCATCGAAGATATCTCATATGCCAAAATCACTCTAATCTTAGCAGGTACTAGCCCCGCCCACCCACCCTCTCTTTCTTTAGAAGATATATCACTTGCCAAACTCAGTTTTTCTTAGCAATTACTGATGACTAACTTTTACAAAAAAATGACCAACATTTGGAAACATTACGAGCTTACTTATGTGCATAAGCTAGGAATTTTGAACATCCTCTCTAGTGTTGAGTTGGTTATGCTTTAATTGATTTTTCTTTTGTTGGTTTTGTTTTCAGTTATGATTTATAAATATCTTATTAACTGTTTTTTTAATTTATTTTTCATAAAAAATGACAGGTTGTTTTATTAATAATAATGATGCACAAGGATTAATGACTACTTGCTTTGGAGCCTCTTGTATCTTTTCTTATAATAATTTAATTAAATTTCTTAGAGGATACGTGGTTGCTAAAATCAGTCGTATTTTAGCAGGTATTAGCCCCGCCCACCCGCCCTCTCTTTTCATAGAAGATATCTCATTTGCCAAAATCACTCTAATATTAGCAGGTACTAGCTCCGCCCACCCATCCTCTCTTTTCTTAGAAGGTATGTCACTTGCCAAAATAATTTTTTTCTTAGCAATTACTGATGACAAAGTTTGACAAAGAAATGATCAACATTTGGAAACATTACGAGCTTACTTATATGCATAAGCTAGGAATTTTGAACATCTTCGCTAGTGTTTAGTTGGTTATGCTTTAATTGATTTTTCTTTTGTTGGTTTTGTTTTCATTTACAATTGATAAATATCTTATTAACTGTTTTTTCTATTTATTTTTCAACAAAAATGACAGGTTGTTTTATTAATAATAATGATGCACAAGGATTAATGACTACTTGCTTCGGAGGCTCTAGTATCTTTTCTTATAATAATGTAATTAAATTTCTTAGAGAATACGTGGTTGCTAAAATACGACTGATTACGATATGAGAGGGTACTAGCCCCGCCCACCCGTCCTCTCTTTTCATAGATGATATCTCATTTGCCAAAGTTACTCTAATCTTAGCTGTTATTAGCCCCGCCCACCCGCCCTCTCTTTTCATAGAAGATATCTCATTTGCCAAAGTTACTCTAATCTTAGCAGGTACTAGCCCCGCCCACCCACCCTCTGTTTTCTTAGAAGATATCTCATTTGACAAAGTTACTCTAATCTTAGCAGGTAGTAGCCCCGCCCACCCACCCTCGCTTTTTTTAGAGGGTATGTCATTTGCCAAAATCAGTTTTATCTTAGTAAGTACTGATGACTAACTTTTACAAAAAATGATCAAAATTTGGAAACATTACGAGCTCACTTATACACAAGGCAGGAATTTTGAACATCTTCTCCAGTGTTTAGTTGGTTATGGTTTATTGGATTTTTTTGATGGTTTCGTTTTCGTTTACAATTTATATATGCCTTATTAACTGTTTTTTCTATTTATTTTTCATCAAAAATGACAGGTTGTTTTATTAATAATAATGGTGCACAAGGATTAATGACTACTTGCTTTGGAGCCTTTAGTATCTTTTCTTATAAGAATTTAATTAAATTTCTTAGAGGATACGTGGTTGCTAAAATCAGTCGTATTTTCGCAGGTATTAGCCCCGCCCACCCGCCCTCTCTTTTCATAGAAGATATCTCATTTGCCAAAATCACTCTAATCTTAGCAGGTACTAGCCCCGCCCACCTACCCTCTGTTTTCATAGAAGATATCTCATTTGCCAAAATCAGCCTTATCTTAGCAACTACTACCCCCTCTTTCCCTAGAGGCTATGTCATTTATCAAAATCAGTTTTATCTTTACTGTCCTAAAAAAATAAATAAAAAGGTAGATTTTTTAAATTATTTTTTGCAATTCCCGAAACGCAACGTACTGAAGAGTTAATCCGGAATATTCCAGACACCTGGTATATACAAAATTTGACAACAATCGGTCCATTACTACTTTTTTCGTTCTTTGGGGATCATGAAACGTCGAGAAAACACGAGATTGACAAGTCGCCCGATGGACTCGATTCTCAATTACTTTACTTTTTTAGCTTACGCTTCTAAAGTAAAAAGATATCGAACCTAGACGCTTTTAATATAAGATCAAATCCAAAAATTATCCCATTGTAATTTCGCTAAAGTGTAGAATCAAATTCTGATATTGATTCATTTGAAATTGACCTTATTATTGGCACATAAAAAGTTTGAAACTTTTCCTTTAGAATCTCAAGTAGAAAAGTCAATAACTAAGTCGTTATCGTCTAGCAAGCTTTGAAATTTATTGAATATTATAGCTGAAGCATGCAACGTTTTGCAGATCTAGTGACCTCGGAAATTTGAAAATTTTTGCCAGTTCTTAGTGATAATGGTCAGCTTTAGAGTTTTAATTCATATGTCATACGTCAGAATATTTAAACCATTTCGTTTGTTATTTTTGTCTTCAAAGGTTAAATTTACTGAAATTTAAAACAGTAAAGCAGAGTATACTCCAGGCAATACTTTGTTGGTAAAAAATACTGTAATTTTTCACTTAGCAGACTCAAACGTGACAAAACAAAATATAAATTTACGGTTCATATGTACTAACATCATAAAACTGACCATGAAAATAACGAGGCGTAAACAAGTTCGGCCTGAATAGGTTCAACTCCTAGGGAGGGATAAAATTTGCAATCCGACAATACTTACTGCTGTTTTGAAAAGAGCCTTCATTTGTGAATTTAAGTATATACATCTTTGGCAAAATGAAAAAAAAAACTTATTTCGTATTTTATGTTGACATTACTTTAATCAGTTTAAGATTTATTAAATTAAAAATTAAATTTTAAATCCTAACCCAAATCTACGACAGTTTATTCAACTTTGTTAGATATTTACAAAAAACGATAAAAGTTAAATACATATTTACATTCGTCTAGACTCAGTTCCAATGATAAACCTTTTCGGAATTATTACACTTATTGACAAAGTAGTCGGTACGCAAGTTCTTAATTTTCCAAACTCAAACATTTTTAGCCTTTTATTAAATGTCACTTACTACCATAGAACAATTGGATTACTTCTAATATTTCTAACTCATCTTCGCGATTACGTCTCATTAAAATATCTAATAATAAATCCTATTATTATATTACGGCCGCAATTAACCTGGCGATAAGCCAACGAACTCTCAATTTCTGCGGCATTTTCGCTCCAACCCCCTGAATTTATGGACTCCGCAATCTGATAAAACAGACCCATAAGTGACCGATTCTAAAATAGCCACCATTTCCTTTCATTATCGCTACACCTGTATGCGCCGCTTCCCTAAAAAGATATCGCGACTACATCTCCGTCAGACACATTCTTTGCCTCCTTTTGTTGTACTGAACCCAATTACGGTTTCCAATAAAAGTGAATACAAAATTTGCATTTAAATTATTTTTTTCTTTTAAAGCAGGCGGAAGTCGGACGTCAGAATTTTACATTTTAGATATCAACCCCCATTATGCATACAAATATTGCTCTAATAAAGTTCGCCGAAGTGGTCGCACCGATAAAATGTTTTAATTATGCCCTGTAACGAGAATTTTCCGGAGGAAAAATATTAAGTAAACGAGATGCGAGATTAAGTTTTAATGAAGCGAATTTCTTCTTGTGTTGGCATTTTTCACGATTTTCGCTGTAATTGGTCGGGAGCAAATAGAGTTAATTAATTGAGTCGTTTTAAATGGCTTATCAGTTTTCATGGAGTTGCATGATGCTAATTATACTAGTGGTATGATTAATCGATGGGTGATGACAGATATGGCTTGTTTGGGGCGTTTTCGACAAAGTTTTGCAGTGTTGTGAACCGCTAAATCTCATAAATCTCTTGGTGATATATAAACTATAATACTGATGTAGCACATCATAACATATTGTTGTTTTAATAATCTGCCAGACAGATTTTTTCACAAATTTTGAAATTGATGTTTACATTCATCAATGAAAATTTTGAAAAAAAAAATTAAAATTTTTAATTTACACGTCTGAATCTATTTTAAATACATCAGTTACTGGAACAAATAAAACAACAAAATTTTATCTCAAATTAGACGCATTATTTTCCCATTACTTATTAAATGTAGGAAGCCAAAGTCGATTTAGAACAAACATATTTAAAATATTTCAGACTTTAATAGTGTGGGATATATTTTTCAGAAATTTTGAAGTTGGTTCTATATTTAATAAAGTCTACGAAAATATTGGGATAAAAAATAAAATTTTTAATTGACACTTGTCTGAATTTCCTTTAAAATTTTCAGTTACTGGAACAAAGAAACTTGCAAATTTGATGATTTTCAACACAAAGATTAAGTTTTGAAGCTAATTTTGAAAATTTTCTGCCATAAATACTAGTTTTGAATTTTCAATCATTCTCAAAATGTTATCTCGAAATTGCATCTGAACAAATATGTTTGAAATACATCAGTCTTTCGCAGTGCTTGATATATTTTCTAGAAATTTTGAAGTTCTATGTTTTATATAGTTCTATGGAAATTTTGACAAAAAAAAATTAACACTTGCCCAAGTCTACATTAAATACATATTTGCATTATCGGATTAAAAAAAAAAAACGTAAATTTGATGGTTTTCAAAACAAAGAACAAGTTTTGAAGTTAATTTTGACAATTTTCTTCTATAAATGCCAGTTTTGAAATTTTGAATCGGTCTCAAAATTTTACCTCAAATTGTACCCATTATTTTCCCATTACTTATTAAATGTAGGAACCCAAAGTCGATTTAGAACAATCATGTTTAAAATATTTCAGTCTTTAATAGTGCTGGATATATTTTTCAGAAATTTTGAAGTTGGTTATATATTTAATAAAGTCTACGAAAATATTGGGATAAAAAATAAAATTTTTAATTGACACTTGTCTGAATTTCCTTTAAAATTTTCAGTTACTGGAACAAAGAAACTTGGAAATTTGATGATTTTCAACACAAAGAATAAGTTTTGAAGATAATTTTGAACATTTTCTGCTATAAATGCTAGTTTTGAATTTTCAATCATTCTCAAAATGTTATCTCGAAATTGCATCTGAACAAATATGTTTGAAATATATCAGTCTTTCACAGTGCTTGATATATTTTCTATAAATTTTGAAGTTCTTTGTTTTAAATATAGTTTTGTGGAAATTTTGACAAAAAAAAAATTAACACTTGCCTAAGCCTACATTAAACACATATTTGCATTATCGGATTAAAAAAACTCATAAATTTGATGGTTTTCAAAACAAAGAACAAGTTTTGAAGTTAATTTTGACAATTGTTTTCCATAAATGCCTGTTTTTAATTTTGAATCACTCTCAAAATTGTATCTCAAACTGTACCCATTATGCTCCTATTACTTATTAAATGTAGGAACCCAAAGTCGATTTAGAACAATCATGTTTAAAATATTTCAGTCTTTAATAGTGCTGGATATATTTTTCAGAAGTTTTGAAGTTGGTTCTATATTTAATAAAGTCTACGAAAATTTTGGGGAAAAAAAATAAAATTTTTCATTTACACTTGTATGAATTTCCTTTAAAATGTTCGGTTACTGGAACAAAGAAATTTGCAAATTTGACGATTTTCAACACAAAGAACAACTTTTGAAGATAATTTTGAAAATTTTCTGTTATAAATGCTAGTTTTGAATTTTCAATCATTCTCAAAATGTTATCTCGAAATTGCATCTGCACAAATATGTTTGAAATACATCAGTTCTTCACAGTGCTTGATATAAATTTTGAAGTTCTATGTTTTATATAATTTTATGGCAATTTTGACAAAAAAAAAAATAACACTTGCCCAAGTTTAGATTAAACACATATTTGCATTATCGGATTAAAAAAACTCGTAAATTTGATGATTTTCAACACAAGGAACAAGTTTTGAACTTAATTTTGACAATTTTCTCCCATAAATGCCAATTTTGAATTTTCAATCATTTTCAAAATTGTATCCCAAATTGCATTAATTATTTTACTGTTACTAAGGCAATGTAGGACTCAAAGTCAACTGAGAACAAACATATTTGAAATATTTTTTTGGTGAAATTTAGATTATCAATATCATGCTCATCATTTTTCCATTTTGGAAAACTGTGTTTTCTGGTTTTCCATAATTTACGATTTTTCAGTACGATAAAAAAAAATGACAATATGGAAACACTAACAAATTGCTTAGGCGTTTCATATTTTTTAAAAATTATGTACTTTCATTGCAAGCCAGCATTACAAATCCGAATTTTATATTTTTTTCGTTTACAAAAATATTCAGATGTTTTTTTTTTTTAATATTTGAGATAAGGAAGTTGTTTATCAAAAAGTCCTCTAAAATAAAAAGTCATAGGCTAATTTTTCATGAATCTTATAAAGGTTTTAATAATTTTAAGTTGAATTACTCAATTTGAACATCGTGTTTAGCCCAACACAAAAAGTGTGCTTATATTTTGGGTTAAACTAGAACTATGTATATAATTGTATATGTATTGTATATAGAGAGAACCGTATGTTTAAGGTTTTACAGCGCTCAATACTTACTGCAATGGTACTACTGAATTCTAAAATGGAAAGAAAAGTATAGAAGACATTGGGGTTATGCGTTGAGAAGTACAAAGAATACTTCACAAACAGCTGCTTAATTTTTTCAAAAAATTGTGCACAGCAGTAGGTTGTTATTTTTTGGTTTCTCTTCGTATTATAGTATCAAAAAATCATAAAGGTAAATGGATAATTACGGGCTAATCACGTTCAAATTTTAATTAAGGGTTGTTTTTTTCTTTTTTTTTCCTCAATATAAACCAAAACAATTGAATCTGATCAGGCTGATGAAACCAGAAAATAATTTTATAGAAAAAATAAGAGCTTCACGAAGAGGTGATTAAAAATTTAGCATTAAAATTCGTATTTTCGCCCTCTACGGGAGATAGAGGTGGTGGGGGAACCCGCAGGTTGGGTATAAATCAGAAAGTAATCAGTACATGAATTAGTATAGTCCGAGAAGATGACAGCGTAGCATCGTGGGAATAACAAATCATTCGAGATAGTTATCTAACCCCTCAACTCAGTCTACGCCCTACAACTTCTCGTACTTAATCCAACTCCATCATCTCAGCATATCTTACCTGTCCATAAGGTGCCCTGAAGTTGGATATAGCTGCCGGAATCATATGCTGTGCCGCCACTCCGTTCTGGGCCAAGGTGTTGGGATCGTACCCAGCGACCGCCATACCTTCGGTACCATCACGCCACATTTTGGCGTTCTCGTTGTTTTTATACATGTTTTTCTTCTTATTTCCGCCGTCCGCGAACTTGACCAAAAGGGGTTCTTTACAGCCACTCAACGTGTGTCCGTTGAATATCGTAATGATCTGTTCGCATTTGTCTTTGTTTTCCATCCTCGCGAATCCGACGCCTTTCGACACGCCCATCGAGTCGCGGAGGATCCTTGTCGATATCACCTGACCGTATTTCGACAGGAGATTGTCCAAGTCCGATTCTTTATAGTGCTGGGGTAGGTTTGCTATGTACAAGTTTGTGGGGTCCTGCTCTTGTTGCTGTCGACAAAAGATGGACACGGTTAAAAAGGGGGAAGTGGGCCCAAGGTGTCACATAGATGCAGCAAATTAAAGTCTACGAATCGGTTTCGTTGGATAAATTAAATGAAACAACTAGTTATTGAGCGACTGGTTTTTATTGGTAGTGCACATTTTCACTGTTTTTGGAGAATTTTTAACAGTGACAGTGGAGTGTATCATGGTGATTAATTCGTCGGTGTGTTTAGAAGAAGTGGGAGCTAACGCAATGTAAGATCCATATTAAATTGACTCAGTAAGACACGTTCATTCATAAAAAAAGATGCATACCCTCAATAGTATACAGTGTGTATTTTATAGAACGTTTGAGAACACTTGATATTTTTCATTAGTGCTATCTCAATTTTCTTCATATTAACATTAGTTTTTCAGTAGTAAGATTAGAGGTATTTTTTTTACGGTTGGTAATGATTTTTTTTTAATTATACAGGGTGAAAAAAAAATGGCGCGCACTAATTCTACGATACGTTATTATGGACTGTTTATTGAGCAAAGGACAAATAATCTAAATTTTCTTTAATATATATTAAACCATATTTGAATTCACTACTTTGTGTTAAGTTCATGAAATCGATCATTATTCAAAATAGTTTTGAAAGTTTTTTAAGGAATTTCTTGAATTTTTTAAAAACCTTTCCCAAACTTTGACTTGTTAATATACCGTTGAGTTGGTGCGACATTTCTGAATCACCCTATATAGCGACAAAATTTCACTGGAAGATAAAAATTTTCTCTACTTCTTAAGATCCGGTTTATTGTGTTTTGAAATTTTTAAAAAATTTCACGAAGTTTTTGGAATATAAATATGCAATATATCACAAATGTAATTTTTTGAGTCATCATAGGTGATCAAGGGAGTTAAGAATATAGGCTGTTCCTAAACCCGCACTCTTCGATATCTTGTTAATTATTACAGATACAAAAAAAAGTCAAGGACTAAACTTGTATTGAATTATTTGATGCCCAACAGACAACTTAATTCTTGATTCAATTCTTTTTAAGCTTCAGAAAATTTTGTTGCCTTAATTGGTAATAGGATGCGACGTTGCCACGTTAACCCTATCTTTTTGAAATTTTTTGACAATGTTATTTTTAACATTTGGGATGCAATTTTTTATGGATACACAAGTAAAAATATATAGGTGCCTTATTGTGGTATACAAAGTGTTTATAAAAATCTAAAATCTGTTTTCAATATGTCGGTGCGTTTCTTAAAAAAGCGAAAAATCTAAAACTATCAACATTAGGTATACAAAATAAAAAAAAAAAAGAAATTACAAGTAGATACACTATCACTATAAAGGGTGTTTTACGTGAAAAAACTGAGCTACGACAATGTTAAAATTAAAATATTTTATTTATTTAACACTCTGTATATTAAAAGTGACTTTTATTGCTACTACAATAAAAAATATGCTTCTATTTGTTTATCCAAAAATATTTAAGATTTTTTTTTGAACCTTTGGTGACGTCAAATTTTGACTAATCAAAGAACGGAAAAAAAGAGGTGACTTTTTTATAACTCTAATGAGATATCGTGGAAGCTAAGTTTACTGACTCACCCTGTATACTATAAGCAAGCGGTCATCGATATCTCGATTAATTATTATACATAGAATAGAGAAATACGATGTTGCCACGTTATATTTTTTGGAAATTTTTAGCGATGCAAGTGTTCACACAAAAAAACAAATAATGTTTTTTTTAAGGTCTATGTTGCAATCTTTCACGGTGAGATAAACAAAGGTATGCACTTTGTCAAGGTATCAACTAAATAAAATTTTAATATACAGAGTTGTCATTAAAAAATTAAACTTTACAATTTTCAAATATCCATATTTCAGTTTTTTTTAATAAACACTCTGTATATTCAAAGTGATTTTTATTGCTACTACAATAAAAAGCATGCTTCTATTTATCTACCCAAAAATATTTAAGAACAATCCTATTGAGATTTTTATTTGAACCTTTGTAAAACTGTCAAAAAAATTCAAAAAAGTTTGACTATCATGGTGACGTCAAATTTTGACTAATAAAAGAACGGAAAAAAAGGAGGTGGCTTTTTTAATAACTCTAATGAGATATCGTGGGGGCTAAGTTTAGTGACTCACCCTGTATACTCTAAGCAAGCGGTCATCGATATCTCGATTAATTATTATAGACAGAATAGATAAATGCGACGTTGCCACGTTATATTTTTTGGAATTTTTTAGCGATGGATGTATTCACTCAAAAAATTCCAATGTTTTTTTTTTTAGATCTATGTTGCAATATTTCATGGTGAGATAAACAAAGGTACGCACTTTGTTAAGGTATCAACTAAATACAATTTTAATATACACAGTGGCATATAAAAAATGAAACTTTACAATTTTCAGGTATCCATATTTCAGTTTTTTTTTTAATAAACACCCTGTATATCGAGTGATTTTTATTGGTACTACAATATAAAGCATGCTTCTATTTATCTACCCAAAAATGTTTAAGAACAATCCTATTGAGATTTTTTTTGGAGCCTTTGTAAAACTGTCAAAAAATTTCAAGAAAATTTGAATATCATGGTGACGTCAAATTTTGACGAATCAAAGAACGGAAAAAAAGGAGGTGACTTTATTTTATAACTCTAATGAGATATCGTGGGGGCAAAGTTTAGTGACTCACCCTGTATACTATAAGCAAGCGGTCGTCGATATTTCGATTAGTTATTACAAATAAAATAGATTGATGCGACGTTGCCACGTTATATTTTTTGGAATTTTTTGCGATGCAAGTGTTCACAATAAATGTTGCAATATTTCATGGTGAGATAAACAAAGGTACGTGCTTTATTAAGGTATTAACTAAATACAATTTTAATATACAGAGTGTCATATATATAAAAAAAACTTTACAATCTTCAAATATCCATTTTAATTTTTTCAAATAAAACACCCTGTATTTTATTATTGCATTCTATTCTATTTTTTGTTCTTTTTCTTTCAATGTGTCGATGCCCCTTAAAAAGTAAAAAAAAAAACGAATAACCAACTTTAAATTTAGAAAATAGGTACTTAACAAAAACGACAGACCCAAAAATAAAATAAGATACAGTAATAAAAAAATACAGGGTGTTTTATTTCAAAAAACTGATATATCAATATTTGAAAATTGTTATATATTTTTTTATAAGCACTGTATATAAAAACCCAATTATATTTATACATACCACAAAAAAGCAAAATATTGTATAGTGAACCAAGAGTTATAAGGTTATATGGCCATCATAAAAGTAGTTGACCGCAAATTAATACTCCCTTTGTGTGGTTCGCACTAAGCTTACCGGTTGGTAATAAATCATCTTCTAAACATTTCTTGCTCATATTTAACAGGGCCGGCTTTCAAAGCGAGTGGTTATTTCGGAACCCTCAGCGGCTGCAGGTGGTAAAGAAATAGTGGAGTGGTGGATTTTCATATTTAGTGAAAGCCGTCCCTGAACGAAACCACAAGAGCCGGTCGAGCTGCAGTGGACACGTTATTTACGACCCTAAAACCTTTTCTATTGTAAGCAACTTAACTTCGACACAAATGATTTTATGATGGCCATATAACCTTATAGCTCTTGGTTCACTATAACTCAGATTTTGAAAATAACCTTCTAGCGATTGCTAAAAATTCAAGGAAATTGGAATAACTTGGCAATGTTGCATCGGAATTTGAAAATTAACTATGGTTATAAAGCCTAATAAGAAGTCAATCAGAATATATAAAAATATATCGGTCATTTCATTTGACAAAACTAAGTTGTGTGTTACCCCTTAAAAACAGAGCACTCTGTATAGTTGAAAATAATTTTGGCGTTTGGTTCTCAAAAAAATGTATAACTTTAGCCTTGGATTTTTTATCTACTTCTAATAATAATTAATGAGACGTCGAGAAACGCGAGCATAGTGACTCACCCTGTATATTCGGGACAAAAGGGCGAATATATAATATTTGTAATACAAACCGTGTAACCGTAGACCATGTAACCAATTAAAAAAAAGTCAAAAATTAATATTTTTTAAGATGACGTCATCTATTCTTTGGTAGGGATAAACGATTTTTTTTTATGGTATTCACAATTCGGAATAAGTACAAAGAATTTTTTTAATCAATATTTGTTTCACAAATCTTTGAGATGACGTCATCAATTTTATAGATGAAAAGAATATTTAAAAAAATAAAATATGTGCTTTCATTTATGAATGTGAATTTTTTATTCGGGTTTTACTCGTTTTGCCTTGCAGATTTTTTTATAGACTTTTTTTACATAAGAATTACGATAACTTCTTTATTAAATACAACAGGGCACACCTTCATACGACATTATTCACAGTGTATATTGCCAAAATGTCGACACTTCATTATGGTACACCCTGTATATTAAATCTCAGCACAAATTATTATTAAATAGCCAACATCAGACTATACTTTTAGTAATTCTTATCATTAGTGGGTTACAATTACACAACATGAACACACCGACGAATCGTATTTTAACTCAAGCACATTATTATCCCCGCAACACTGAAAAATTGACCCACTTTCGCCTCATTTCAGCCGCTCGTTGAAGATGACATCGCAGCTGCAGAAACGGGTTATTTTGGGTGTTGCAGAGATACCGAATTAGCGGCGTTAGTGCACCGACTGTCAAATCGGATTTAGTTTCCACTCCACTGTCCTGCGAAATGAAGTGAAATGCGCATCCAATAATAAAGAAGTCACTGTGTTTCACTTGATTTATTTTTTAATTCGTCACTTTATGTGTCGTAAACACCTTGATCAGGATTGAAATAACCATGATTGCGAAAGTTATCATTAATTTACTGCAGTTGACGATTTGTGTACACAGTAATGTATGGGTCATTCCATGCTGACGCGACAAGAGTGAACCATCGATGATTTGGATTAACTTTGCGAGTGAGTGGTACTCGGAATTAAAG